TTTGCTTTCCTCCCAGTAGCATAGCCCCCGTGGTAGTTTGCAGGTAGCATCCATTGTGGAGTAGTGTGTGGCTGGAGGCTTAACTTGGTTGTAAGTGAGACTGGAATCTGCTGAGTCAGGGGTTTGGGCATCCTGCATGCTAGAGCTTTCTAGAACATGAAGTTCTTACCCCATAATGTAGTATCACCAAGAAAGTGAGCATAGATTTTCCACCGCTCCTGCCCTCCTCTCTACCTCTCCCCTTTCCTATTGCAGTGTGCCTTCTCCGTCCACTCTCCCAGAATGCTTCACTCAGCATAATGAGATGCTCAGCTGCCATGCAGCCACTGAGATCTGGAGATGGATGGGGTCTCCTGGACCGCCCTGAGAGGGATGTAAAAAAGACATTGTATTCATGAAAGCAGGCTAGAGGAGGCAAAATAATGAAGAGCCTGACAACACACAGAAGCCATTGTCCAAGGAAAATGGTATTCTTTCTACCCATCTCCTGCTAGCTGCAGTAATTGAAGAAATGCTATATTCATGGAAGTCATCACAAAGGTCAGGCATTGTTTAGACTGAATTGGAAAATTATTCCTTCCGAGATTGAATTAAATGCAACATCATTAGGACTTGATTAGCTCAATGTGGAATAAGGAGAGAAAAATCCAATTCAGAGACTATGTGGTAAGGAATGAATACATTTTTATTCAAACCCTGTTAATTCCCTAGGCAGGTGTAATCTCCACAAAGAGAAAGGCCCTGGGTAGAAAGAAAACAGCCTGTGTAAGCATCCTGTATCTGCTCTAGAAAAAAACAAGGATTAGTTAAAAGGTCTATGAATGCAACCTGATAGCTGTGTGATAAGAAATCTTGGAAGTTAGAAATATTTTTTTAAATAAATGAAAATTCCTTTGTTACTACTATAGTCCAAATTCATTGCTGAATAAAACCAAAATGGAACATGAATGTTAAGTCTAATTGGAAAATTCCCAGCACTGTTAAGAGATCCTTGAGATGACTGCTTCATCTAGAAAGAATCATTTTAGTTGAAATTGTTCCTGAGCCGGGAAGTAGCTGACTGTACCTTATAGGGGTGCTTTTGGGTCACCAGAAAACAACATAGAGGCCCCAAGCAGTGGGAGCTCATATGCTCCTTCTTGTTTCATTCTCTTAGTCCTAGAAGTGATTTTATACATTTGACCCTGTCACCCCTTGATGAAATTATTCCCATCTTTATAGATGAAGGAACTGAAACCCAGCCAAACTAGCTTATTGATTTTTCTTTTAGATAAGCCCTATGTAGCCTAGGCTGGCCTTGGCCTTGATGTCATCCTCCTGCCTCAGTGTTCTGACTGACATCATACTTGGCTCTCAGATAAGTTTAATGTGTTATGTTCATTTGATGGTTGTAGATAGATGGTAGGGTCTGTCTTAATCCAGTTTTCAAAGTCATTTGCTTTCGATTTCGGTTTACCAGATTAAAGGGGTTTTAAGCAGGACTGGGAAGGTGCCTTGGTTTAACGTGCTTGCTATAGTTGCAGGAGGACAGTAAAAAACTAGGGGCTATAGAGTGTGACTGGGAAGGTGGAGTCAGGTGAATCCCTGTGGCGAGCTAGTTACCCATTCTCGGTGATCAACAGGTTCAGTAAGAGATCCTATCTCAAAAAATATTGTAGAGAACTGTGGGAACCTGACTTGGTGGGGCTGCAGTCGGACTTGCCCCTGGTTTGTACCTGAGAGGGGGAGTTGGATTGAGAAAGGCTGGGTGAAGACATTAAGAGAAAGAAGAGTTACAGGATAGAGTCAGGATGGCAAATCCACTCAATACTGAACGTGCCAAGTTTATTCCTCACCATTCTTAAATACCTTAACCAAAAAGAGGAAGATGGTATCTATCATGTATATGGAACAGACTTTCTTCCTCGATTCTCCAAGGATTCAATAACCACACCTTAGATTCAATTTCTTGTTATCTAGCCTTGAGGGTCAACAGTAACGACACCTTATACCAAGTCTGCGGTTATTTAGGTAAGACACCCACCAAGATCAAACATCCTACTGTAGCCATGCCTTAGATCTTCAGGTCTTGCGACTTACTAAAGACAGTTTTGAACTCTTTGATCTTGAGCCAAGATGAAGTGGAGCCATCTTTATGGGACCTGACAGAGAACAAATGACGAAGGCACTCAATGTCACCCTCTGGTTTTTCCACGTGTACCCTCATGTGCATGCTTTTATGCACACACAGATACACACACACACAGACACACACAGACACACTGATACACACACACACACACACTCACACACAGTAAAGTTAGAACAATAGCTCTCAGGGAAGAGTATTTACTTCAAAGTACAAAGAAGAGAAATTAGTCATTATGGGAACACAGTATGAGTCCCGTGTCATAGAAAATTTTCTAGAATGTATTACAATTGGCTTATTTTGGGGATATCAACTTTCTGGACTTACAGGACTTCTATCTGTGTGAATTCCCAGTATGAACACAGCTTTTTCTTGGTTAGGCAAATGTTTGTATTTTCTGTCACAATAGGCTGCATGAGTGATTTGTCCCAGCTTGGGTGCTCTTGCATCCCTGTCTCTGTCTTCCTTGTGTATTTCAGAAGCCAGAGAAGAAAGAATGCAAGTGTCCTACTGAAGTTTTTGTTGCTGTCATAAGGCACTGACCAAGAGCAACTTGGGGGGAAAAGGGTTTATTTGGCTTCCAGATTTCAGTCCATCGTCTGGAAAAGCCAAGGCAGGAACCTAAGACAGGGACTTTGAGGCAGGCTCTGAGTCAGATATCTTGGAGTCATGCTGATTACTGGCTTGCTCCCCATGGCTAGCTTGCTTTCTTATACAACCTAAGAACATGTACCCAGGGTTGGCATCACCCACACTAATAAAGAAGATGCCCCAAAGGCCAATCTTACAGAGGCAAAACCCTCAAGGAAATTTCCCCTTTCCCAAGTAACACGGATGTGTTGTCACATTGACAAAAACCAACCATGACAGTAAATGGTTAAATATAGTAACTATCTATCAAGGGACTATTTAGGGGGAAAGAAAGAGGTGGTGTGAGAGTCAACATGTGACAGACTGTGATGAGTGCTGCAGCCATAGCAACAGCCTCGCCATTGCTTAGGGGACATTCACTGGACCTGTGTTCCAGGGTCCAGGGTCTAAAGTGTTAACCATTATTGCAAGATTGAAGCTGGGCGTTGGTGGCATATGCCTTTAATCCCAGAATTCAGGAGGCAGAGGCAGGTGGATCTCTGTGTGTTCGAGGCCAGCATGTTCTACAGAGCTAGTTCCAGGACAGCCTCCAAAGCCACAGAGAAACCCTGTCTCGAAAAAACAAAACAAAACAAAAAAAAATTGAACCATGAGATGCCAAGTATCATAAGCAACTGTAGAGCCTGCAATTCTGTGTGTTAAGCAAAAGAAAATCTTTGGGAGCTACCATAAAGACTTAACTTTTATTTTTATTCTGTGTTTGCACATGCTTGTGTGTATGCATATAAATACAGGCACCTTGGGAGGGGCAGAGGATCCCCAGAGCTGACTTAAGAACTTGTTAATATCTGTCGACATGGTGCTAGGCAATGCACTTCAGTTCTTTGCAGAAGAAATACTCTCTCTTAACCACTGACCACCTCTCTAGCTTACCATTTTGAGGATATATTTGGGTGCAATGGTGGCTCGTGAGAAAGTGGAAGCATCATTAAAGGGTATGTTGAGCTTGCTTTTCACTGACATCAATTCCACGAGTTGCCTGTTGATGACTTTGAGGAAATTAACTATCCCATCCTCTATGAATACATTTACATTTTTATTCATTTTCTTTTCCGCATCCTGAACTCTCATGTAGCCTGACTTTTGATAACTTGAGGAGTTCCACATGCTTTGTCTGGAAGCAAAGGTTACATTAATTCCTCCATGCTACTCCAAACCTTACCAGGGACACATTTATCACATTTATCTACCCAATCTAGCAGGTCCAGTTCTATTCCAGCCTCCAGGGCTCTCCATTCGTAGCACACTTGTGGGACAACTGTATATACTGGGATTTGTGATATTGGGAACAAAGTTTAAACCAAAAACTTGTGCTATTCTTTCTCTCCCTAGATTTCCATGTCAAATTCTCATCCAGGCTTAAGTTCAAAATGTATGCCATTGAAATCAACATTACATAACTAACAGATAGGAAACCACTGATCAGTAACTTGTTCATATTGTTACTTAGTACTTTAAATTGGTAACCACGTGCAATGAAGTGACATGCTGCACCCCCAAATCTGCCTATTCCAGTCCCAAGACACTCAATTATTTTTCTCCTGGGATTTCAATTTAAAGAATATTATTTCAGTGAACAAGGGACCTTGTTATTTAAGAATGTTCCTGAATGAGCAAAAAAATTATAATAACATATCATATATTGAAAGATTTCTCACTGGATTCCAAATATGAAGATTATAATTTGGGTTAGCCTGCTAGAACTTCCAAGTAGGAGGGGAGGGTGCCCTCTTGGGAATCTGAGGTGTTCTCATTGGACTAGTGTGGTGATGGGGACAAGGAGGTGAAAACTCTGAGGTCTTAAATACTGCTTTGTTCTTGTCCAGCCCGATGACTGGGATCAGATATTTAACCCCCTTCAAATCTCATAGTCTTTTAATGAGGAAGTTGGATTTTGTAATCTCCATGGTTCCTTTCAGATACAGAATTCCCCATTCGTAGTCACGCAGTGAGCCAGTGTTCACTATTGGAAGACACTCTACTAAGTGCTGGAGAACTGAAAACATGAGTATTACATGTTCCCTGACTGTGAAGAGTTACAATCTTGTGGATGGTTGAAATGTCTGGGGCATAGTCACAGAGCATCATGAATAAACTGTAATTCTTAATTCTTTAGATTAGGCTGAAATCAGAAATGGAATAACGAACATAGGAATATTTTGCTTGCTCAGAGTAAGCATTTTTTTTTTAATTACAGGAGGACCTAGGGGTCCACAGATACCTTCCTTTTTCTATGAGGCTGTCCTGTTAAAGGGACCCAAAAGGATGCTCTTTGAAGGATTCATGTCTTCAGGTGCAATTCTGAGAGTCTGCAATTTGAAGTGATTCTTATGAATTTGAGTGATAAATATGAGAGATAAAATTATAGGGATGCAATTTATTACAAAGAAATTGGGGGTGATGAGAGGGAACATATCACAATTAGAGTGACACAGACGACAAGGACTCTCGGCTAACTTGTCTTGTAAGATCTGTCCTGATACCAGAACTCAACAACTCAAAAGCCTAGGCTGTAGAATTCCGAATCCTAACTCTTGACCCCTTTGTTATGTTTGGTCGTGTCATCCAGTCTCTGTGTCTGGATCTACGGGCGTCCAGGCTGTGGTTGGGACAAGGCTATGGGAGATGCGGAAGTGGAGTGTGTGTTTGGCGTGGGGGCGGGGCAGCTCTAGCTGAACATCCTAAGCGTTATTATTACATTACCATAGTGATTGTGAAGAACCGATTTTCAAGTACGGGAAAACGCAGAGCCGAACTTAAAATATAATGCAGAATTTTGATTTAACGCTTCCCTTTGCCAAACAACAGCGATTCACTTTCCGGTCAGGCTCGACTTAGGTTTCTTAGACTAACAGTCCGGGGACGTGGGTTGCTCGGGAGCCAGGTTGACCCCAGAGCCTAATGTGGCACTGGGTTTTTCTTGTTGTCTGGGGACCGCAGAGGCGTCTGACGGACAATGCCTGCAGCATTCGAAACCTTTGGCACAAGCAACTTGTGACTCTGAAAAAGAAGCGTTTTCCAAAGTTGGGGACAGACAAGCTTGTGGGATAAAAGGGAGGGTTTAGTTCGAAATGAAGAAGCGGGGATTTTTTTTTTTTCTAGTTTCGTACAATGGGAAAGGATTGATGAGAACTGGTGCGAGCCGGGAGCGGGCTGTAGAAGGATCTGACTGATATCTCTAAGGGATAACAGGTAGGTCCCCTTGGTCCCGAGAGTGGCTCCTGGTCACTACATCTGCTTTGTTTCAGACTCTTAACAGGGCTCTCGGTTGGTCTCCCACTCCAAGGATCCGCCCGCCACAGGGCGGGGCTTCAGGGTCAAGGTGGACCAATTCCCCAGCCTCGCCCCTCCACGCGCTTTCGGACCCCGGGATGACTGACAGCCGCTGGGTCCAACCTGCGGCTCCAAAGAGTGGCCTCCGCCAGGGGCGGTCGGAGGCCAGGCGCCGGGGCCAATCGCGTTGCAGGCTGGGGGGCGGGGCCTCCTTGCCAGCTCCAGGCGGGCGCAACCCGCACTCCTTCGGTCAAATGAGAGCCGAAGAGGGGCGGTCCCCCGATTAGGGTCCAGCCAATGAGGAGGGCAGGATGGGCGGGCCGGAGTGGCAGCCGCCGGTCCTCCGCTGCGAGCTAAGGTTTGAAGAGTCTGTGGGGGGGACCGCGAGTGGAGCGCGGGAGCCCGGGCGGCGAGCGGGTGCGAGCTGCCCGAAAATGCACTCGGATGCTGCAGCTGTCAGTGAGTAGCGCAGAGCCAGCGGGCCGGATGCGGGCCCGCACGCCCCGTCCGCTCCCGTGCTCCTCTCTTCCCTTCTCGGGTCGGGATCGCGCTGGAGTCGCTGGCCCGGGAGCCGGCTGATCCCCTCCTGGAGCCCGAGGGCCGTGACGCCGCGGGCGGCTGGGGCGGGGGCAGGGGCGGCGGGGAGGGGGTGGGGATTGGCTGGCTTTCCGCGGTGGGGGAAGGGGGGGGACAGGCTCTGAAAGCCGGGGGCCGAGAGTCTGTGGTGCATGGAGGTGGAGACGGCGGCGGGCGCTGGCAGCTGGGGCCGGGGGTGGCACGGGCGGGCCTGTGGTCTGGGTGCAGGGTGAGGCTTGCGGGGCCTGAGCGGTGCGGTCGGCCGGGGAAGGCGGGGGAGTGGGAGGGGAGCGGGGGCGGGGACAATGGGAAGGAGGGCTGGGGGCGGGGGCGGGAACAATGGGTGGGGAGCGGGGGCGGCGGCCAGGCCGGTGAGGGGCTGCAAGCTGATGTAACAGGGGAGCCCGGAGTGGGAGGCGCCGCGGTGGGATGGGATAGTTGCGGAGTCCCGAGTGCGGGGCCGCGGCCGGGGGTGGCGAGGGGGCTTGAGGGCAGGTGTTGGGACGGTGGGGTCCCTGGAGAAGAGGAGGGCGGGTAGGGCTGCGGTGCAGCTCAGGGGCTACAACAGGGGGCGGGGAGGTGTGTGGAGTGAGTTCGGAGGAACAGGAGGTGGGGGCGGGGGCAGCGGGGACTAGCAGGGCTGTCATTCCGGCTTCGGTGCTCTCGGGGCGGGGTGGGGGGCGTTGGACTGTGCATTGGGGGAGGTGCTTCCTCCCGGGAGGGGCCGGGTCCTGCCTAGGAGGGGACCGCCCTGAGCCTCGGGGTGCGCGGAGGGGAGGGGGCGGGGCCGGGTACCCGGGAGGTGTCCCGAGGCTGGCAGTGGCCGCCGCGCTTGGCAAGCAGCGGGGAGCGAGGTCAGCGCGGCCTGGGGTTGCGGGGCCGGGAGGCGGGGCAGGGCGGTCGTTTGCAAACTGACCCGGCCTGGTGGGGTCCTGGAGGCGGGGCAGGGGGACTAGCATAAAGGGGTGTCGGGGTTCCCAGCGGTCTGTAGGTTTGGCAGTGTGTGACGCAGTTGTCTAATTTCTGGCCGTCGGGCTGATGCGTCAGGACCCGCTACCCTGTACGAAGGGCCACATCGGAGGCACAGCACCGCGCGTGTGGGAAGCGACCTCGGCCCCAAAGCACTGGGAGGGTGCTTTAGGGGTTTCCTTTAGGGTCTGGCTCCTGAAGCCGGTGTGAAGGGAAAGGCAGGCTCGCGGAATTCTGGGACTTGTAGTCCCAGCCGCGCCGGGTCGCGGTTGGGCTGAGTGCACGTGGGTAACTGTGGAAACGAGTCCCAGAATGCAGCGCGCCCCGTGGAGCCTCCCAGCTTGGCTAACTCGTGCTTTATGCCGCGGAGATCCGATGCGTTCTCTCCCGGGTTCCTTGGGACATTGTCCGTCGCCTAGGGAGAGCCCAGGTCAAGCCCTGGCCTTTCTCTGAGTTAATTTTCTTGCATCTGGTAGCCTTGCGGAGCGAATGCTTAGTCTTGAACCGTCCTGCACACACTCGTTCTAAAGCAACGTTTAGAGTGGATTCAGCGTATGGAAGCCTCGGGTGAAGTGTACAGCCTTACATAAGTATGGGAACTAAGCAGAGACACGATATCCCTTGAGATTTGCTGCACTGGTATTTCGTGGGCTGTTTGGTTTGCCCAAGAATTGGGGGATTTTTTTTTTAAAGTGAGTTGAGAAGAGCATCTTAATGGAATTTGGGGTTGAAATAGTCTCATGCCCAAACCTGAAATGAAACCCCAAAGGTGAACAAAGGAAAGTGTGATGCCCTCAGCTTTTATATAAGTGCAAAGTAAATGAGGCTATTGTTTGCTCTTTAGCTGCCAGACTTTAAAGTCCTTCCCTCTTAACTATTACAGGTCTCTGAGTTTGTGGACTTACATTCTTTGCCAGTTCTTTGTAGTGATCACTTCCAAATCTAACTTAGGGGCTGTAAGACTCGCTGAGAGGTGATCGATTATTCTTGTGTGGTGTATCAGATATTGTGAAACTATTGATAATAGTTCTCAGAGGGGTGCTTAATGGCCAAATGGTATACATGTTGCAGACAAGTTTTAAGATTTGGGAATCACTTGATATGATTAAGACTGATGAACTTGCTTATGTATTTCACGATGTCTTTTAAATTTTGTTTTTATTAGTTTAAATTATGTATATGTATGTGAGTATGAACACATGTGTGCAGATGCCATGGAGGTCAGAAGAGGGCATTGTATCCCCTAGAACTGGAGTTACAGGAGGTTGTGAACTGCCCAACATGAGTGCTGGGAATGGAACTCAGGTCCTTTGCAAGGGCAGTAAGCACTCTTCAGTGCTGAGCCATGCTCCAGCCCTTACAGGATGACTTTTAAAACAAGACCTGAGAGACTGGTTAGTGTGTGATGTTTTGAGGAAACAATTTACATCTATCCTGTTTTGACTTACATCTGCAGCAACAGCTCTAAGACATTTTTGTAATGTATATATTACGGAGTTTTTTTTTTCCAAAAAAAAAAAAAGCATTGAATCCTGGGATTTACTCTTGCCAAATGATAAGGCTAAAAAAATGCATGAGATCTCTATCTTCAAGATTTAAAGAAAGTATTTGTCTACATTTGTTTTGTTTTCATGTGTTCCCTTCATATCCTGAAGGACAAATGCTTTTTCCACACACATTCTCCATCTAGTCCATAAGCCCAAAAAGCCCTAGGCAGTATCAAGCCTTCACTTTCTACTCTAGGTTTTGGGGATCTTTGCTTTTTGGCTCTTGACAAGGTCCTAAATTTTCTTTTATATTTAACTATGCATTAACAGTTTAAAAAATATTTCATCAAAGACTTTTTGACTCTAGTATCAAAAAAGGTTTTTTTGGGGGGAGAGGTAGTTGTATTAGGGTTCTAGAGGAACAGAATTTATAGACTGAATCTCAAGGGGCTTTATTAGAATGACTTACAGGCTGTGGTCCAGCTAACCCAACAATGGCTTCCTGTGTACAGAAGGTCCAGTAATTGCTCAGTCCCCGAGGCTGAAAGTCTCAGCTGTTCTTCAGTATATACTGGAATCCTGAAAATCCCAAAGCAGCAGCCTCTAATGACAGTGAAGGAATGGACTTACTAATGAGGCAAGAGCAAGCAGATGAAGAGAAATAAACTTCCTTCTTCCCTGTCCTTATGTAAGCTTCCAGAAGAAGGCATGCCCAGATTAGAGGCCTGTCTTCCCACCTCAGAGATCCAGATTAGAAGTGGATCTTCCCATTTCAAATGAAGCAAGCTCCCTCACAAATTAAGCAATGGTCTCTCATAGGTGTACCCCTCCATTTCGTGGTTTCAGCTAATTCCAGATGTAGTCAAGTTGACAACCAAGAATAGACATCACAGTCTTCTATAACTGTGCCAAGGAAGAAAGTTCTCCCATCCGTTTGTGTACATTGACTCTCTTTATTCTCCGTTCCTGGCTCACAGAAGGGCCCTACGTGGTGCTTGATGGTATTTTTATTTTCTTCAAACTTTACCATTATCCCCTTTGTTTTACCTTGACCTACTGTAACTGAACTTCCTTTTGTTTCTATGTTCGCATTATTCTCATCTTAATCACCATCATGGTCATTCTTATAATTGTAGCTAATAATTAATATAATTGTAGCTGACACGGCAGCAAAATGCAGTCTCTCAGAAACCTGGTACTTGCTGGCCTGTCAGTGTGGCTTTGATAAGCACTGACTCCCAGGGTCATCTAGACTTCAGGCTGTACCAAGGTGCTTCCATATATATTTGAAATTGACTTTTATTTGGCTCTAACTTTGTAGTTAGATGAGGCAAGACCAAACTAGTGTTGGTTTTGTGCATTTGGTTAATGAAGCCGCAGTAATTTTAATCACCCTAGTTGGAGCCTTAGATGCATCTCATCTTTTTCCTTGCTTGGCAGTGGAAAGGAGATGCTGTGTTTTCAATACTTACATTGTTGCTGTGACTAACTTTTTAGCAAAAAGCAACTTGAGGAAGGAAGGAAGGCTTTATTCTGGCTAAAGGTTTGAGAATACAGTCTGGCATAGCTGGGAAGGAGTGTGAGGCGATTGGTTATATTGTATCTATAGCAAGGAGAGAAGATGAGTTGCCACTTTCTTCTTTGTTGCAATTCATTCATGGACCCAGCCCATGGGAAGTTGTTCTCTTCTTTCATGGTGGGCCTGCCTTCCTCTCTTAAACTCTGAAAAATGCCCTCACAGAGATCCATAGTGTGTCTCTTAGGTGATGATCCCAAATCCAGGGAAGATAGTGACAAGATTAATGACCATAGGCTGCATCTCTCTGTCCTCTACAACTACCTTCTCTCCCCAACTCATTACCACCGTCTTGGGTCTGACCTGGTCTTTTTCTGATAACTAGTGATCCTGTGTGAGGCTTAGCCTGTGCTGCATTGGTCTCTCAGTAGTTGAATCATCTTTGCTTTTAATATTTCCTTCCCTATTTAAAAACCTCAGGGGCTTCCAGGTACTCAGTTAAGTATGGCCTACTTAGAACAAGAACTCAGGAGGCAGAGGCAGGTGGATCTCTGTGAGTTCAAGACCAGCCTAGTCTAAAGAGTGAGTTCCAGGACAGCTGGAACTATACAGAGAAACCCTGCTTGGAAAACAAAACAAAACAATCAGGAACCTCTCCTTGAAAGGCTCCCTCTTCCCTGCCTGCCCTCAGAGCACATGACAATAAGGGGCCAGGCCAGGACAATATTATATTCCCCAAGATCCATTGCCAATGACTTTCCTCCAGAGGTCCCATAGTTTTTACAACCTGGCC